TACAGGTATCCTAACCCAATCATTAGTAACAGTTGCCGTAATACGAATATTACATAGGTGATTATCCAAATTTTCGCTATTGATAGGATTTGAACACCCAACCTACCACTTGGGGGGTTGACAACCTGACCACTTCACTAGGTCACCACACCCTTGAACAACAATATTAAAAATCAAACTATAAAAAAAATATTATAGAAAAACTTAAAAAGATATTATTTTTTGATCTTATATAAAGTAGGTTGCTTGTAAATACTGAGGTACAAAACAAAACTCTTGGTAAGTTAATACTTTGAATTAAGTTTTTTTTTGGTAAACTTTTTTAATATGTTTAACATACAAACTAAAAAAATATTCTAGAAAATTGTAAAATAAAAATTCTAGTTAGAATTATTAGAAACTTAAAAATATTATTATACAATTGTAAAACTTATTTGAAAAATTATATATAAATTTGTTAACTTTTTATTTTTTATTGAAAAATTTTATAAAAAATAAATTATTTAATTTATTCTTTTTAAAAAATCAATATAAATTTATCAAAACAATTAATAATATTTATTTTATAAAATAGAATTAATAGATAAATAAATATAAATTAATATATTTAATAAACAAATATGTTTTATATACATGTTTTGAATAATTAAAAAACTGTTAAATAACAGAAAAATTACAAAAAAATTTGAATAAAAAAAGACTTAAAGAAATTATTTAAGAAAGAACCAAAGAAAAAAAAAAAAGTAGATATAAAATAATTAAGGAATTAATTTATAAAAAAGCTACAAAAGTGATTCAAGAACTAATATAAATATTGATAGAAGCAAAAAAATTTTTGTGAATATTAGTGAATATAGCATAGAATGACTTTTACAAAAATATATAAAAGAAATAATATGAAGTAGTTATTGCTTAAGAGAAAGAATTAGGAATAGACCTAAAAGAAAAAGAAAATATAAAAAACAACTATTTGCAGTTATAAGTATACCAAAAGAGATAAAAGCAGCAAAGTTAAATAAGCAAAACCGAATTTAAGAAAAAGAGAAAATAAAGAAAAAAAAGAAGGATAGTAATAGAATACAAAAGTTATAACTAGGGTTAGTATAGCCTTCAGATTCAGATAATTTTTTAACCAGTATGACAAACTGCCTTTGAGTACTTTTGAAATAGTCAGAGAATGTTAAACCAAAATTTAAGCATAACTATATACAAAAATGTATATTAAATACTTAATAAAGGTAAATGACAAAGCTGCTAAAGTTTAAAAAAAAAAAACTGTTAAATATTGTTCTAGGACCAAATAATATTTTTATACTAATTTTTTTATAATCAAGTTAAAATTTTTTTGTATTATATAAATTAACAGTAAAGAATCTTTATTTAGTATAATTTATAATTTTTAACAATTCAATACAAACTTATAATTATAACTATCTGATGAGTATATAATTATTTAATATGAATAAATTTTTTTATTTTTTTATTTTTTTTTTATTTTTTAATTGTATTTTTTATTATTTTTTTCTATACTTTAGTAGTTTTTTTAAATGTTTTCTTTTTTTAACTTCTTTCAAAAAAGATGTTATCGGATTAACAGTATTCTATTGTAAGATAGTAATCAAATATACTTTTAAATTATATAATAATTTGGTATTATGTTATTAGTATTAACAAATTACCTATAAGCTTATAAAAGTAATTGCAAAATATTAACATTAAAATTAAGATTTTAAAATAAAAAAATTTAAATATTTTATAAACATTACTAATACATATAAAAAAATAAAAATTGTTAACATTTTTATATAAATAATTTTGTCTAGTTGGTTTAATTTTAAAGTTTATATTATTTATTTAGTATTAACATGTTTTTTAGATTATGGTTTTTACTAAATCATACCAATAGTGTTTAATATCACAGATACTATGTATATATCAATAATTAACTAAATACCTTACTTTAGTTAAAATTTAAACTTATATTTTTACTATATTTTAGGATTTCTAACTCTAAATTTTACTAGCAAAACTATTAAAATATAAATGATGTTAAATAACTTGATAAGATTTAGTCCTACCGTCAATATAATATAATAGTTTATACGAAAAAAAATTAGATATTATACAGTATGAAATCAAAAAGATACCAAATTTTATTTATTATATGCAAAATTAATTGGTTGAAAATATCAACCATTATGCTAAAGTTGAAAAATAGTATTTAATTGTCTTCATTTTATTAAATTAATATTAATTATTTTTTAGTTATAATTTTATACACTCTGTGATCACACCGAATCTTTATTTTTTATCTTTAACCGAATCCAAGTTATGGGCCAGATTTATAAAGAGGTAGTTCATGCGGCAAATTATAATACACTGACGCTTTTTAGGCTTAACCTCTAAATATCATGTAATTTTAAAACAGTTTGAAGGATAGTAAAAATATGCGAAGAATTACTATTACTTTTATATAATGTTGGAACGCCGAAAGTTTCTGGCGATATATAAAAATCAAACATTAGGAAATGAGAATTATTAAAATCGGTTTAAGTAGATCGCGTACTATTGGTACCACTGGTGAAATTGGTGAAATTAACTTCACCAGCATCTCTAGCCGGAATAATTTGCACTATAATATTTTTAGAAACTTAAGTGAAGTTGCTTAGCTGAAAAAAAGACTTTTCATTGTAAGCTAGCTGTATTCCAACTCTATAGAAAACTATATCAATTTCCGACAATTTCTACTATTAAAACAAAGAAGATTAGCTGTTAGTTGGTCTCTTAAATTGCATGTCTCGAAATAATGGCTAGGAAGTATTTCACACAAATATGGTATGTTCGTCGTCGACGACCACATTTATCGAACACCATATTTACCGCATTCTGAATCGATAACTTTTTTCTCACTTTAGAAACATAATACAGTCATACTTGAGTCATGTTTCCAGAGCATTTTTGGTGATATATCTAAGGTAGGAAGTATTGCGCTTTCATCATGTGATTGTTAACCAATTAAATTACAATTTTTAACGATTTATTAACCAATAGTATTATTCGTATAATAATTTCGGAGATATATCTTAGGTATTTTATATATTAATAAAATGAGATATGAACAAAGTAAAATTAATACGTATAGCGATAAAAAAAATTATATAACTCAAGTACGACTATACAACGACGTTTTATTTATTTATTTAAATTTTTTATGTAACATAAAACAACATAAAATACAAGCGTAGCCAGAGAATTATAGTTAATTTACTGCTGGCAAATTTAAATTTTAAAATAATAACCAACTAAGTCGGTATTGATTTGACTAATTTTATAAATTTTTTTTAATAAACTACAATGATTAAAATTCAGCATCGAGAGTAAAAATATTGTCGAAAGGATCGCTATGTGATGATTTACTCATAACACCTGCTTTTTGATAATCTGATACACGCTTCTCAAAGAAATTAGTTTTACCTTGCAAAGAAATTAAATCCATAAAATCAAATGGATTTTCAGTTTTATAATACTTTTCACAACCGAGAGCTACCAGTAAACGGTCTGCTACGAATTCAATATATAATTTCATTAATGTCGCGTTCATTCCGATTAAGTTTACGGGTAAAGCTTCGGTTAAGAATTCTTGTTCGATCTTTACAGCTTCAGTAATAATAGCTTCAACAGTTTGTGTTGATGGTCGATTATATAAATGGGTGAAAAGTAAACAAGCAAAATCGCAATGAAGTCCTTCGTCACGAGATATTAATTCGTTAGAAAATGTTAATCCCGGCATCATTCCTCGTTTTTTGAGCCAGAAGATTGACGCAAAAGCACCAGAAAAGAAAATTCCTTCTACGGCAGCAAAAGCGATTAAACGTTCAGCAAATGACGATTTTTGGTCTGAAATCCATTTGAGAGCCCATTCTGCTTTCTTTCGAATGCAAGGTACTAATTATAAAAGTAAATATTTTTTTTTAATCAATAAAATCATTTCCAATTATAACACAAATAATAATGATTAACTACTTACTAGTCTCAATAGCATCGAATAAATAATCTCTTTGTGCAGGATCCTTGATATAAGAATCAATCAAAAGGGAATACATTTCTGAATGGATATTTTCGATCATGATTTGAAATCCATAAAAACATCTTGCTTCCGGAATTTGAACTTCGTTGCTAAAACGTTCTACTAAATTCTCATTAACAATACCGTCGGAAGCGGCGAAGAAAGCCAAAACATGAGAGATAAAATATCTTTCATCGTCATTAAGTTTATATTCCCAATCGTTCATGTCTTTTGAGAGGTCGACTTCTTCGACAGTCCAAAATGAGGCTTCAGCCTTCTTATACATTTGCCAGATCTGTAATAAATCATATAGATAAGTATTAATATTTATTTGTCAATAACAGAATAAAAGATATTAAATTATTATTTATGATTATAAATAAAACCTACATCATGATATTGGATAGGGAATAAAACAAATCTTCGAGGGTTTGGTTTCAACAAAGGCTCGTCTTCAACGTTTTCAACGTTGTTAATTTTTGTTTCTTCAAGAATTAAATCCTCCTCTTGTTTTAAAGGAGGAGAAACGTTAAAGAGTTCAGAAACATTCAAACCCATATTGTTTTCTTTATTCTGTTTCGAATCTCTAAGATGTTTCCTTGTCGAAGACTTTCTGGACGTGAAAGATTTCCTGACTTTTCCATGAACGGTGTTTGGCTGCATGGGATATAGTGTATTCATGGTTGCTTACAGTTGATTTTTCTTTTTTTAAAGTACGTTGAAATAATTGTTTCAAGAAAAGTTTTTGTTCAAGACAATTGTTATTATTTTGATTTTTATTTAAGAGAAACGAAGAGATATTTATACTCTTCATACCTTTGATCTAATTTATTATTGGGTTATAAATGGTTGGTCGGCAACGTGTCAGCAATCAAAACAGTGATCGCGATCCTTTTGTTTTTATTTATAGACTTTTTCGGATAACTCACGATCTAACGTTAATCCTGTAATCACGGTTTAAGTCAGATCCTCACATGACTAACATTACGACTAGGACATGTGATTTATATTAAAACGAGTGCGGATTAAACGATCAATATAAAAAAAAAAAAACTATCTCAATGTTTAGGTATTTGACTCTTAATTTGCATATCTGCACAAGTTGTTAAAACAAGAAATTAAATTAAACTGCACCTGTTCTTTTTCTGAAAAAACAAAAAATAAAATTTGCTGAGTCGTTGAGATAAGATGAAAGTTTTTTCACTTGTACACATACGGATCAGGGTATTTGTAATTACCAACAGCAGAGACCGTCAATGTTACACATATATTAAAACTGGTGAGGGATTATATCCATCACAATTGAATCCAACATAAATAATTTAATTTGCGATTGATCACAGGCGAGAGGGATTCATTTTGGATCGGGAACTGCCCCTGCTGTAGTAATTACCGTTACTGCTAAAAATATAAATTTCATCGTGATCAATTTAGTACTCAGATATTTAGTCTTCGAAAATATTTAAAAAAAGTCTAATATTAATGTATAGGTTCTTTTCGAATGTTAATCTCTTGTATGTAACCCGTTGCTACGCAACAGGAAAAATATATAATTTATTGTTTTTTTCTAGTTTTTATTGAATATTTAGAAATCCTAAATAAAATTAATTAAAAATTAAAAGCTATAATGCATATTATTAATTCTGGTATTAAAGCAAAATAAAAAATGACTTACTATTAAAAGTGACGTACTATTAATTTTTTTCATGCTACACTGGATATTGTAATTAAAATAAATTACCGTTCATTATACCTTTGGATTATTGGCTTAGTCTTATAAACGTTTTTTATAGTACGTATTAAATGAAGCACATTTTTTGAAACTATTAACTTATTGGTTCAACATAGAGATAAAAAACAAATGCTTGTAAAAAAATTGAATTTGTTTACAAATAAAAACGTATACAGTCGCAGTCATAAGTATTCATCCTTTTTTAACTTTTTAAATTAAAAAGCTATAACTTAAAACTTTTACTATAAATAGTACTATATAAATTTAGATTAGAAAAAAAAATTTATAATTTTTTAATTACTATAACAAAAGTTAGATGAAAGCTAAAATTTTATTAAATTTATAATAAAATTTTTTGTTAAAATTAGAATTATTAAATTTAATTAAAAATTAATAAAAAATCAAAATTAAATTTAAAAATTTTAAAAAATTAATATGTTAAAATTCAAGAATTT